TCTTGAACACAAAGCCAAGAAAACAAACATGTCTGTCTTGGAGAGGATGAAACCAAGCCTCTCCTTGGAGGCTAGGATTTTGAAGCTCTGTCTTACTTACTTTGGGCATGTGGCCAGGAGAGATCAGCCCTTGGAGGAGGACATCATGATTGGAAGGGTGGACGGACAGCACAGGAGAGACACACTCCAGATGAGATGGATTGATACAGTAATTGGGGCAATGGGGGTTGGTGTGTCAGAATTAATAAGACTGGCTCAGGGCAGGGCAGGGTTTAGAGCTGCTGTACATAGGGGTCATTATGCATCACAGGTGACTCAACCAATAACATTCTATGACAGGTCTAGAAGCAGGAGTGGCATCTACTTCCTCAACAGCTTGCCTTTGGAAACTCTATGAACTTTGATAAATGTTGATAGTTGTAGAGGGGCTTCGGGCCTTTTGTTCATAGGGTTGCTATGAGTCATGCTTGACTTGAAGGCAATCAACAACAACAGCAATGTAGCATCAGAATTGGAGGAAGATTGCATTCCTAAACAACGTGCCTCTGGAAACTCTATAAACTTTTATATATGATAATAGTTATAGAAAGGCTTCAGGCCTTTTGTTCACAGGGTTGCTATGAGTCGTGCTGGACTCGATGGCCGTCAACAACATCATCATCATCAAACAACCTGCATTATTTTACAGATGACACAACCTCGCTTGCTGAAACTGAGGAAGACCTAAAACGTTTGCTGCAGGAGGTCAAGGACTGCAGTCTTCAATATGGATTGAAGCTCAGTATCAAGACAACAAAGATTCTCACCACTGGACCCTAGTAAAATACTGAATAGGAGCAGTGATAAAGGGCATCCATAGCTGTTTCCCACCTGAAATGGGAATTCCCTCAAGTCTCCTCTGAGATTAATGTTGGCTATTGGTTTTGTACATATGCTTTTAATTACGTTGCAGAATTCTCCATTTAAAAATATTTTTTCCCTTTTTATCTTTACATCAGGAAAAGATACTGAATTTGTTAAATCCTTGTTCTGTACTGATTATGATTACGTGGTTCCTTCCCTTTACCTATGAGGAAGATTACTGATTTTCTTCTGTTGAACCACCTTTGCATACCTGGTGTGAATCACTTGATTATGATGTATTATATTTTTGTAATGTTGAAGCCTACTGCCTAGAATTTAGTTGAGAATCCTTTCATCTCTGTTCATGAGGAATACTGGTCTATAACTTCATTTTTTAGTGGTTTATTTGCCTGGCTTTGGTGTCAGTGTTATGCTTGGTTTGTACAATGAATTCACTGTTCCATCTTTTTCTGTTTTCTCAAATTATTTGACCAGACCTGTTGAAAATCTTCTCTGAGTGTTTGGTAGAATTTACCAGTGATGTCTTCTGGGCTAGGAATTTTCTGTTTTGGAGATTTTTTTTTTAATGGCCTACTCAGTTTCTTCTTTTGTAATGAGTCTGTTCATGTTTTTATCTTTGTGTAAGTTTAAATAGGCAATGTATGTCTAAAATTTATTCATTTTCTCTAGATTTTCAAATTTTCAGGAGTATAGTTCTTTATAGTAGTCTGTTACAATCCTTTTTATTTCAATTCATTCTGCTGTGACATCATTTCATTTCTTATTTGTGTTATTACACGCATCTTCTACTCAATTTCTTGAATGTGGATTTCCTCATTCTTCATAACTGGGACGTTTTCTTCTAGTACCTCTTCTACAATTTTCTGTGATTTCCCTGCCCCTCTCATTTTCTGGAATCCTAATCATAATATGTTGTGCCTTTTGATGTTATCCATATAATTCTAATGTTTTCTTCATCTTTTTAATATCTTATCTCTGATTTTTCATAAAGTTTGCAACTCTCCCCTACTTATTTTCATGTGAGATTTGCCAGTGATTTGCTGATTTATGAATCTTTTCAAAGAATCAGCTTCCAATTTTGTTGATTCTATTGTTTTTCTGTTTTGTCACATTTCTTTATAATAGTTAAGATTTTCCTTCTTTTTTTACACTGTAGGCTTTGTTTGCTGCTATTTCTTTTTTTAGATGTTGAGGGGTGGGTTTTTTTTGTTTTTTGTTTGTTTTTTTGCACATTTAGTAACATGGCTTATTTCTCTTCTGGGTGAGGCTACACAGGTCAGGAGCAGACATCTGCTCCCCTGGCTCCTTAGGAATTTTAGTTCCGTTCACATGCAGTAAAAGCATCTCTCTAGTTTCCAGCAATGAATAACATGTTAAAAGTAACAACTTTGAGGTTGCTGGAGTGCCCACCTGCACACACTGTGGGCACATGAAGGAAGGGTGGGCTATGGTACATGTACATACAGGTTAATGGGAGTGAGGGACACAGGCCTGGCTCCCTTGAAGAGGTCTGGCAAGGAGCCAACCCCTGTCAGTGTTTTGATGACAATGTGGCTCTTTGAAAACAGGTCGTGAGTCTCCTTCCAAACCATGGCACCTGTGGGCTTGTTTTGGTGTTTGAGGTAGGGAAGGGAGCTCCTTGTTGGGCACTGAGTTGACAGGAGGTTGGAAGCACCAAAGACCCCCACCCTGGATCCTCTGCAGGGCAGGATGGTGGGCCATTATTCCTTCCTGGCCACCAAGGTAATTTCCAGGGTGGGGTTTTTACATTTTTGTTTCCCAAGTAGTATCAGTCTATTTATTTAGTCATTATATTTTGAGTGAAGGTTTACAGATCATCTTAGTTTTTCATATAACCATTCATAGACATTTTGTTTTATACCACTAATTGCCATTTATTAGCATAATTAGTTTAATCAACCTTATTGTGCATTGCCTTTCTCCTCTTCCAATTTTACTATTTATTAATTTTCACCTCTTACTCCCATAGATGTTGAGTTAAAGCTGATTGTTGTTCTCTCCTTAGGTTTTAGTATGTTTATTGTTATGAATTGACCTCTGATGAAACTCAGTAAATAAATGAAGGCCGTGGCCCTTGCACATTTGTCTCACTCGGAAAAGAAGCAGCTTTTATGAGCCAGGCCAACCGTCAGCGACTGCTCACACCTGGGCAGTGCTGAGAGCTCTGAAGATGGAGGACAGCAGTGACCACATGCACTCGAGAGACAGCCTGTGTCCACAAACAGACCAAACCCGCCGGACAATGCCCGATGACCACTAACCACCAACTGAGCCCTAAATCCCTGCTAGCTGCGCGGCCAAAGGACAGCCTGGCTGACAAGCTGACGTGGCACACACGGAGACGTGGGTTCCAGGCCAGCTGTTCCTCTACTACAGGCCAGCTAGGCCGACTGGAGGCAACAGTGGACACCTGCTCCGGCCACACTCCAGCCATGCCCCGCCTCCGTCCACGCGGCCTCGCCCTAGGGGAGCCTGAAGGCCCACGGGGGGGGGGGGGCGCGAGCGTGGCCATGGCCAGTACTGCCACCCGGCACACGTGGTGCACGTTGGGGAAGCAGACTAGGGATGACAAGGGGACGACCCAGGGGGACAACGTGGAGGGGACGTGAAGGTGGACGACGCGGGGGGACGTCAGGGGGACGACACGGGGGGGATGACGCTGGGGACGTCGGGGGGGATGTCAGGGGGGACGTCACGGGGGGGACGTCAGGGGGGACGACACGGGGGGACGTCAGGGGGACTTGGGTGGCGGACGTCGCGGCCTTACAGGACGTCAGGGCTTTCGGGGTTCCCTCAGGTCAAGGGTTCCCTCAGGTCAGGGGTTCCCTCAGGTCGGGGTTCCCTCAGGTCGGCGTCCCTCAGGGCGGGTTCTGACCGCCCGCCCCGCCCCCAGCGGAAGGGCCTAGACGGCAGGGCAGCGGAGAGCAGGAACCAAGCAGGACAGAGTTGGGGTCAGCGAGGACGTACCTGTCCAGCGGGGAAGGGCGAGTGTCCATGGCTCCTGAGAGTTACGTGGGCGAGGCCTCTGGAAGAGGACAAGACGCCTGAGGGCCGCACTCCCGCCCGAGGGCCACGCTGACCACGCCCACCCACGCCTGGCCCTTCCGCTCCCCAGAAGGACCGCCCACTTAGAGCCAGCCCCACGCCCTCCACCTGCACGTGACCCGCCCACCGCCGCCCTCCATGACCCAGGAGCCCCGCCTCCTACATAGCCCCGCCCACAGCTCCGCCTGGACCCAGGAGCCCCGCCTCCTCCGCAGCCCCGCCC